CGAACGGCTCACACCAGGACGAGGGGCCCGAACGACTCACACCACGAGGAGCCCGAACGACTCACACCAGGAAGAGGGGCCCGAAGGACTCACACAAGGACGATGGGGCCGAACGGCTCACACCACGAGGGGCCCCAACGACTCCCACCAGTCGTCGTCGTCGTCGTCGTCGTCGTCGTCGTCGTCGTCGTCGCCGCCGCCTTCGTCGTCGTCGTCGTCGACGTCGTCGTCGTCGTCGTCGCGGTTGTGGTCGTCGTCGTCGTCGCGGTCGATATCGTCGTCGTCGTCGGGTGCGTCGTCGTTGTTAGGATCATCGCTGTGGTCGTCGTCTCCGCTAAATCCCTCTTGCCTCCCACCGCTTTCTCTCCCTCCTCCTCCGCCTCGTCCTTCTCCCGCTCCCACCACAAGGAGGATGTGCAAGGAGGCGGGAGGAAGGAGGAACAAGGGAGATATGCGGGGGCAGGCGGAAACACGCTTGAAAAACACGACTGTCGGCATGCTTCGCAAGAGTTGCTGTTTTGAGATGGGCTGGTGGGGATACGCGAAGCGTGAAGAATTCCAGCGTTCCCCCTGCGAGATCGTCCTTCCTGAGGGATAAGAAGCGGTGCAGCGTTTCCAGCGGCTGCACCCACGGGCCCTGCCCTCTTTGACAGTCGAGCGCGGCTGAGAAGGCGATCCAATCCTCCTGGAACTTTCCACTACTCCCAACCAACTGCGCAATTGCATTGGCTGCTGCAGCTCTATGGCCGCCCCAAGGGATGTGAGGGGGGTGCCCATTCATGGGGATCTGGTCACCGTAGACGGAGTGGAGGAAGCGCAACAACTGGCTGTGAGTCCAGTCGGATATCTCGCTGTCCTCACCCACTTTGTCTCCAAACCTTTCTCCACCAGAAGTCGACCAACGGATGTTGATCTCATGGTTCCATTCCAGCAGGAAATTCACCTGCTTGCGTGCTGGCCTGCACGACTGCCCCCCTTCCAGGCAGAGGGTCGCGTGCGCGGGCAGCCGGGGGGCGTCGGGCGGAGGCAGTGGCGGCAGAGCGCACCCGAGTGCAGCACTGCCCTCGGCGATCCTCACCGCCCGCGCCTCGAGCTCAGGGGGGGGGCTTGCGGAGGAGCCCTCCTTTGGGGATGTGTTGACCGGAGACAGGTGCGCACACATATCATAGATGCCCCCCTCCTTTGCACCTTCGCTCGCCACCATGGGGGCAGGGCTGGGGGGGTAGATCATGTTGGAGTATGCGTTCAGCACCTTGTTGAGCGCGCTGGGCGCGACGTCCCAAATGTGCACCAAGCACCTCCTGCAGGCCCAGCTGGCATTCCATTGCCTCTTGGCCCGCAGCGTTAGCATTGTTCCCCATGCTGGGAGGCCTGCGCGGTCGCAGCACTCAGCGCCTTCTTCAGGGCGCCAGATGAAGCACCCCAGGGCGGGCGCGCCTGCCGACCATTCGAGCTCTGGGGTGTGCGTGGGGCAAAAGTCGCACTTTGCTGAGTAGCATCCGCCACGGCGCGCCCCCGCTCCGAACCCGCCGTCGGGAAGCCTTCGCGGTGGCAGAGTGGCGCCTGCGCAGGAAGGGCGGCAGTGGCGCGTCGTGCGTAATAGGAGCTCCTTGAGGGAGACCTCGGCTCCAGCGCCCTTTGGCCCCTGCAACCCCAGTGGGGCCCGTCCATGGGTGGGAAGGTTTTGGCCCTTTTCTGCCCCCGGTTGTCCAGTAGCCTGCGCCTGTGCTCCTGCAGTAGCCATTGCATGGACTTCTTGCTGAAGCGCTTCTCGGGGTCCGGCCCCGGGAGAGAAATGCCCTTTTCCAGCGAGGCAACCCAACGGCGCTGGCAGAGCCATCTGCAATGTTTCCCCTTCGTGTGCGCCTGCAGACGGTTCTGAGCGAGTAGCTCGCGGGTGTAGTCGTCCTCCCAGGTGCCTGCGGAGCCTTGTGGCCCCCCATTGTGGCATCCGTCGCAGCAGTACGCGGCTTCCTTCTGAAGCCTGCTGAAGCGTCCGTCGTGCACAACGGGAGGAATCGGCGCAGTACCTGGGGCGGGTGAGGCGGGGATGTCTTCGTCGAGACGGTGGTTGGAGATGGCAATCCCCCCGCGAATGTACTGTAGGTCCCCATGTCACGTGGGCATCCCAGCCCGATCTGCGCCCCTGCCAGCGCTGTGTGGAGAAGGCAGATGGAGCACTCTCCGTGGTGCAGATGGTGCACGTCGGCTGGCTGCGCAATGTCCTCTAATACGCGTAGGGGGGCTTCCGACGTAAAGTCGTGCGCCTCCATCTCGGCCCATGTCTCTGGACAGCCGTGCTTGTCGGCAATATTGCGGTGGTGGGCGAAGGTTGCCAGGGCACCCGAGTGGCGGATGACCTTAGCGAGCTCGGCGTGGAGATTCTCGAGGTCCGCCAGCTGGCAACCCCACGTCGCGGCGAATTGCGTGCGAAAGTCTCTGTGCGCTTCCTGCCACGGGAGGCACAGGCCCATCATTGCCTAGAAGATGTCGCCAGTGACCTCAGGGTTCGGGAAGGGCCATAGCGCGGCCTGGGGCTCACGTAGCTGCAGCATCATGACCACCAATAATACTCGGAGTGCGTGTGGGGAAAGCGGCTGTGCGCCCGCACTGACCAGCATGTCTGTGAGCTTTGTATCGATCCTCTCGCGCTGGAACAAGGCGCTCAGGCTCTCCATACCTGGGTGTAACCTGTGCCGACAGCACTTGCAGGTGGTAGAGCTGGTAGAACTCCATGCCGCTGGGAACTGATGGGGCGTGCTCCGGGGAGTGCAGTGACTTTTCTTATTGGAGACCCTGTTCGAGCCCACCATGTGAGGTAGGGGTGGGAGCGACTCGTACGCGACCCCAAGCTTCTTGTCGTTCCATGGCGTGCCAAGCCTGAGGAACCAGACGATGGCCGCCCACGTGAGGTTGTACATCCGGTTGCTCGCGTCGATCCCAACCCCCGGGTCAAAACAGTAACCCAGATGGCTCCATGCCTTCCTGTCAAAGCTGCCAGGCTGCCTGGGTGTGGCCCCCATCTGCCACTGGTGGGGGTGCAGCCAGAGATGGTGTACAGCAGAATGCCCATGGGTGGGTCGTCGACTAGCGTTTGGATGCTGTCCGAGAGGGCGGCCCCGAGCCTTTCCCACGAGAATTGTTCATCCAGTGGTGCTGCAAAACGGTCTGCGAATGAGCTTTCCAATTTGGCCTTGGCCTTCCTGATGGCGTCGTCCAGGCCCTTTACGCTGGCGTCCCCGTCGTGTGTGGGAGCAGCTGGGATCCAAAACTCCAGGTCCTTGATGGGGTCGAATCCCTCGTCGCAGCGTAGGGAGGTACGGTTGCCCAGGTTGTCCCCGTGGAAGCGTATCCAAAGCCCGGCCATCCGCCCATATTCAGAGAGCTCCCTGAGGTGCAATCCCGTGGCCGTGGTGAACATTCTTCCATCCCCGATGATGATAACGTGTGACCTGGCACGCGCGATGACGACATTGACTCTATTGGGATTGTCGATGAAACCCCAGCCGTGGAAGTAGTTGGATCGCGTAGTCAGCGATGTCGGCTTCACCGCCCTGGCTGGAGTCGATGGTGGAGATGTTGAACCTGCCGCTGGCCAGGTGTGTCCCAGCTACCTGGCATATCCCTGGGAATTGTAGCCCGATTCCATTGGATTGGGAACTCCATTGCTCAAACACCTGGTGGAATTACGCGAAGCGCCTAGCTCCCCCATGCTGATCATTCTCGTTATCGGCATATATAATCATTGTAGTCCGCCTGGTGGTGACAAAACGCCGCCGTCCTCATCGTGGAGGGACGAGGGAAGAGGCGTGGAAGGAGGACGGGAGGAGGAAAGAGAGAACGAACGAGGAGGGGAAGAAAGAAAGAGTTGCTGCTGCCGCTGCAATCTGCATCGATGCGATGTTACCTGTGAAGCCACGTGGGAGCGCAAGGCCTGGCAACCCCGCGCGGCGCGCCCAGCGCAGGCAAAAGGAAGGAGGGGAAGGATACGGAGGGGGAAGCAAGAGATGAGTGGGTGGGCGAGGGCGGAATGCGGGAAGGCATGAGTACAGGGGGAGGGAAGGCGGCAGGATGGGACGGGGAGGGAAGAGGAAGGAGGGAGGGTGGAGGGAGGCGGGAGGGAGGACGCAAAGGAGAAGCAGGATTAGGAACAAGATCGGGAGAGGGAGTTGGAAGGGAGCGGACGGGGGTGGCCGGGGAATGGAGGCAGGGCGAAGAAGGTGGAAGGGGAGGGAGAGCGCGGAGGTCCCAGGGGAGGTGGGTGGGGGGTCTTGATTCGCTTCGCGGGGCCGCGTTTGCCAACCAGTCAGCCGCGAACTTTCGTTTTTTGCCTTCCAGAAAAGACAGAACAATTGCGCGAACGGTTATCGACGCGCCGTGAATTCCCGCGAACGCGCGCACACATCCGGCGGATACACTGGGGAAGGAGGATGGCGACGAGAAATAGAGGATGCTGCCGCGGTCCACTTGCGGGAAGTGTATGTTGCCTTCGCCTTGGCGTAGAGGGCCTTCCCCTCCAGCTTCGGCCCGCTGACGGCCGCGAACCCCTTCAGGGTCAAGGCCTTCCTGGCCGCAGCAACGCTCTCGGTCCACATCTTGTTAGCGCTGTTCAGTCTTTCCCGCTGTGGAGGCTTTCTTCGAAACGATATCCCAACGCCTGTTCTTGACGAGCTTGTCCTATGTGAGGCCCGAGGCCGCTTTCTCCTCAGTTCCTTGCAGCACCTGTGAACGCCCAAGCTTGCCCTTGGCGGTTTTGCTGACGCGCTTCGAACTCATCGTCTTCATGGTGCCTTTCGTAGCGATCTTCACGGCTGAGGCCTTCATCAGCAAGGCCACCATTGAAAGGCTCTTGTCCGCTCTGGGCGGCATGAGTGATGACTACGTCAGACTTCGAGCAACACAAATCTCGAGCCTTGAGCCAAAATGACTTGAACCAAAATAACTACGGAAACCAGCAACTAACTCTTGGGCTCCGACGGCGACGACACCGAGCCGGGCGCCTTGATGTCCCGGTGAACAATGTCCCAGTCGTGGAGGTGCGCGAGCCCCTCAGAGCCGACCGGAATGCAATAGGTCTCTCGTCCACCATCCAAACAATATGCTTCGATATGTGACTATCTCTTCTTCCTCCTGCTCCTCTTCATTATCCTCCGCCTCCTCCTCCTCCGCCTCCGCCTCCGCCGCCACCTCCTCCTCCTCCTGCTCCTCCTCCTCCTCCTCCTGCTCCTCCTCCCCCACTCCTCCTCCTCCTCCTGCTCCTCCTCCTCCTCCTCCTCCTCCTCCTCCGTCTCCTCCTCCTCCTCCTCCTCCTCCTCCTCCTCTTCCTCCTCGTCCTCCCCCGCCCCCTCCTCCTTCTGCTCCTCCTTCTGCTCCTCCTTCTGCTCCTCCTCCTCCTCCTCTTTCTCCTCCTCCTCCTCCGCCTCCGCCGCCTCCTCCTCCTCCTCATTATCCCTCTCCTCCTCCTCTCTTTCGTTTGTTGTTTTCTCTTCTCTCCCTCTCTCTCTCTCTCTTCCACCTCTGCTCGAGTTGGGGGTTCAGGCCAATCTCTGTATAGTTGCCTTTGTTCCTCCTCTTGGGCATCCTCTTCATCCCTCCTCTGCCAGAGCTCGGGGCTGATGATTGTCACCCCCTAGTTATAGTGAGGCCCTCCAGACAGTCGTTCGAGGTCTTGGAAGCATGCGGCGCTTGGCACGCTGAGGGCGCGCATGCCTGGGAAGTTATCAGATAGTAAAGACGCTGCCTGCGCTGAGCCAGCCAGGTGATTGTCCTCCCCCTCCTGACGCAGGCTCGGCATCGCAGACTTCGCCCACCTGAAACGGATGTGTCAAGCGCTGTAGTGCGATCTGAACCTACGCAATCAGAGCCCAACGACATCGAGCACGAGCGGCTACGCGTCATGATGGCAAATGTTCCTCGGTGGAACGACCCGCGCACCCGAGAGCGAGCAAGCCGCCGATCGAAACCGACCATCCGCACTCGTTAAGATTTGGAGGTGAAGAATGAGGCGGACGGCGGATGAGCCGACCTGCAGTGATCCAGACGACGAACAACCTACGAAGAGCGATGCACAGCACTTGACAGTAGACGGACGATAAACGATGGGTGACGAAGGGCGAGAGGGAGGAGAATGAGGAAAAAAGCGGGTAGATTGGGAGGAGGGGGAGGAGGAGCAGGAGGCAGGAGGAGGGAGGCGGAGACTCGAGGCCTCCCAGATGGGGTCCGAGCGTGTAGGTTCGGAGGATCGCGCCGCATCGCCTATTCATCGGCGACCTCGGCGTGAAGAAATTTGCTTCACTTCGAGTCGCATCGGCGATGCGGCGCGAACATCCGAGCCCATCTACTCGGACCCCAGCTGGGACGCCTAGAGAGGAGGAGGGAACGGAGGGAGGAGGCAGAGGATGCGAAGGGGGCAAGCGGAGGAGACCGAGGAGGCCGCGGCCAAGGAGGGCATCCGAGTCAGTCCGACGAGGCTTGCTGGCGCCTGCATCATCCCGGCGAAGAGCGGTTTGGCCTTCGGCTCGGTCAGCACCCCCACATGCAGGACCTTGTCGGAAGCAAGAGACAGACCCTCGCATCGTTCGTTTTGGAAAGACAGCGCCCCGCGTCTCCTCTGCTCATCCTCCTCCTCCCCATCCTCCCTCCTCCTTCCCCTCCTCACTCCTCCCATCCATGCCCCTGCCCACCGCGTGGCAGTTTCGGCACGCCCCCCACACGCTTCGTGGCCCCATAGGGATCTCCAATGAAGGCCCCAGTGGTAAAATACACATGCGTCAACCTGCCCGTTTGGGCGCACCCCGCACACGCGTCGTTGCCCCAACGGACGCTTCGCCGAAGGCCTCAGTTACAAACTCCGCATGCGTCCCCCTGGCAGTTTCGGCACACCCCTCACACGCTTCGTGGCCCCATAGGGAGCTTACTCCTTCGTCCCAACTGCCTTGCGGAACTTTCACTTGCATGTGTAAATCCCCGTTTCTCTATTTCTACCATCTGGCACCCTGCGACCCCCCCCTGGACGGAAGATCCCTGGCCCCGAGGGCCCCTTGGACGCCGTTTTAGATGATTCCCTGGGCGTTTTGGAGCTCCTGGGGGCCCCTGCTGGGCCCAAACAGCGGGCCGAAATCGGTCGGAAAGACGGCCGAACAGCCCCCCGAGGCCCCCAGAGACCCGAAACACCCACCAGACGCCCGAAGACGACCCAAAGAGCACCCTAAAGAAGCTTCCGAAGTACAGAACAATCGTGAGTTTGAATGGTTTTCGCAGGATTTGGGGGATGCTCTGTTCTTCGGTCTCCCAGGCGTCCGAGACCGCCCCAGGAGGCCGACAGTCATGCCAAAACGATTTGAAACGGTTCTCAGGCAGTCCCAAAGACCCCCAAAACGGCCCAACAGGGCCCCAAGATGGCCCGAAGAGAATCCAATGACGGCCCCAAGATGGCCCCAAGACGGCCCCCGAAGCATTCCAAAGCGTGGCCCAGTTGTTCAGGGAGATCCCAGTTGGAAACACAGTGGCCCGAGGAAGCCTCCAGAGGCCCCACGAAAGCGCCCAGGAGGCCTCCAGAAGGCACCCAAAAGCCATGTCAAACTTTCGTGAAGCTAAGCTCCCAAGAGGAACCTCCGCAAAAAGAGCAGAGGAGCATGGGGAAGAATTCGCAGGGGAGGGCGAGAATGAGGAAGAGGAAGAGGAAACATGAGGGAAAAATAACGAATGGTACCATTAGGACGACGATGCCGGACAAGGCAACGAGGAGTTATCGCCATGGTTTCTGCTTACCTTCCTGCCCGTCCGCCGTGACTTCCGCCTGCACGCTAAACTTCAAGGACCTCGGTGCATGGCGCGAAACGCCAATAGGTGGAGGGCAGATTTGTCTTTTCCCCGCTCCCGCCCCTCGGGCCCGCTTAGCGGTGCCTGGTGGTGGGTCTGCTGGGGATGGGTGTGGGTTTCTTTGTGCATCTGCTGCTGGGCCGGCTTGAGCCAGCCTGCCACGCCCCTCTCTCTGTCGCGCCGCACGCTTCCTGCCTCCCTTCCCGCGTCTACGACTACGGCCCGGTAGAGGCGGGGGGCATTCTGCTTGCACGTCGGCTGCGCCGAATGGCAAGGCGCCCCGGAAAGCTCTCGAGAAGCGCGGCTGCAGTGACAGGTCCCACCCTCCCGATGATACTTAATATCTCCTAGGCCGTGTTCCCCAAAACCTGGTAGGAAGACGTATAAGTCTCATGTGTGGTGATGGTGTTGACCAACGCCTGCGGGTCTGGACACGTCCTGTTCCCGGCCGGGAAAACAGTTTCGAGTTTCGGTTTCCTACACTCCCCACCCTCTCAATCCTCCATGTTAGCTGCTCGTCTGTCAGGTCAGGTGCCCCAAATGGATACAGATAGATGGGTGGTTATGTTCCGTTGGCTTCAGTAGGTCCTCTCCCAGGTGGGGGAAGGAAGGCTGGCCTTCCCCCGCGCCCAAAGTCGTACCCACTTTAGGAGAGGCGGGCCTCCAGGGAGAAAGCTCTACGGAATACCACCTACTTCCAGGGAGGCCTCCTCCGAGACCCTGCAACGCCGAGTGTGGGGCCACTAGGTGGTCCCCATCGTGTGGCATCTTTGGAAGACTTTCCGGAGCCACTTAGTGGTCTCTGGGCTCGCTTGAGCCAGAAACTTGTTTCTGCGCCATGATTCGATCGCAACTTTCACTGTATCCGCGCCGTGGGATCCTCGAGAATGGATCGGCGACGAAAAACCGCCGGGAAAGGGTCAGGAGACCTGGGGCCGCGGATTCAAAAAACTCACGTCGTCGGATGGCTTGGAATGAACCACACATCCCCTGCTAAAGACAACCGCCGTAAGCTCTAAGATCTCGAATATCTACAACGCGACTCCCCAGCCCACCCCTCCATCACCCTCTCCTCCCCCCGACATCCTCCGCCCCCGTCTCTTCTTCTTGTACTCGTGCTTCTCCTTCTCGACACGGGGAGGACCCACGAAGGCCGAGCAAGGCCAACAACCCTCAGGACCCGTTTCGTTCAGGACCCGTTTGCTTCCTGGGCGGCTGAATCGAGGGACGCGGTGCACAGACTCCGGGCGCAAGCCGGGCCTGGTTGAGCATGTCCCCGGCGAGCGCCGCCTCCAGCACCAACGAGAAGCGGGGAAGCTCCTCCTGCACGGCGGGCGCCCGGGCCACTCCAGCAGAGGGAAGGACGGCGAGCAGCCCTTCCCTGATGGCTGACGGGTGCTGAACATGATAGCCAGCTGAGGAGCGAAGGAGCTTTTCTAGTCGCGATGAGCCTCGGCCACGACATGGCCCCTCGACCTCAATCTCAGGAATGAGCCACCAACCAGAGCGCATCCTACACCCAAGGATGTACTTATTTCAGCGCCTCGACTGCACACAAGGACTTCGGTCGATGCAAAAAACGTGGCGCGTTCCTGCCGCTTCCTGCACCACTTCGCATGAAAATAGACTACCCGCCGCTGTCCCGCCACCTTCCCCGCGCTGTCCAAATACCCGCTACTAATACCCGTCTCGGTTGCGCCGAGGCGACGACGACGATTAGAGACCAGAATGTATTCATATCCGCCGCCTGGAGAGCCGATGTCTTCACTGGGCCAGGGGGGCAGTTGATATGGATACATCAGGGTCCCAGGGGGGCCGAACACATCCATCTCCACTGCCCGCCGAGGTCCAGGAAGATCGGTTCCCCTGGCGGTGGATTTGTACGAATCCCAGCCTATGGAGACGACAGCGACGACGACGGCAGCAGCGGCGGCGGCAACGGCGACGAGGACGAGGACGAGGACGACGACGACGGCGATGCCGCGAGCGCTGCCGAGGCCCACCCCAGGGACAAGGAGGAGGGCTCGTACTCCTCCTCACCCTCCTCCTCCTCTTCCTCCTCACCCTCATCCTCCTCTTCCATTATGTTTCCATATACCTAGCTTCTCCCTGTCGCACCCTGAGGCCGGTCGTAAGGGCGGGCCGGGCGTTCTGCCTGAGACTTCCTCACCACTTATGACCCTGAAACTTGAAAATTGGCAACAATTTGACCGATGGAGGGCGGGCCGTTTCCAAAATGTGGTTCTCGCCTTAGCGCCGCGCACATTCGTTTTAAACATGTGCCAGAATTTAACAGATGGAGGGCGGGTCGTTTTCAAAATGTGGCTCTCGCCTTGGCGCCGCGCAGATTAAACATGTACCAAAGTTTCACGGATGGAGGGCGGGTCGTTTTCAAAATGCAGTTCTCGCCTTAGCGCCGCGCACACTCGTTTTAACAAATTGCAAGGGCTTCGCAGATTGAGGGCGGTTCGCTTTCAAAATGCGGATATCGCCTCAACGCCGCGCGCATAAACATTTGCAAAAGCTTCTCTGATTGAGGCCGGCTCGCTTTCAAGAGTTGAAGTCCCAGGAATGGCGTTGTGGCACGACTCAGGATCGTCAAGACGCTACAGTCATATTGATTCGCAAGGTTGAAGTCACAAGAATGGCATTTTGGCACGATTCAGGATCGTCAGGACGCAACAGTCATATTGATCTGTGGCGCTGGAGTCCCGAAAATCATGTTTTGGCATGCGTCAGGGTTTTCAAACGGTTGTCATCCAACGAGGCAGGTTCCTCAGTGGAAATGAACCCCCCTTGCAGGGGCCAATGAAGAGGGAGCTTGGAAGGAGGGTTTACTCCAACATCGGTGATGACTCTTCCTTCTCCTCCTCCTTTTCCTCCTGTTCCTTCTCCTTTTCCTCACCCTCCTCCTTGCCTGATAGCTTGATCGGCGAGGGCAGCGCCTGGTCGCGACCACGATGCCCTTCCCTTTCCCGGCGGCCTTCGCCAGCTGGAAGAGCGGAAAACCACTCTCACGTAGAACGTTGTGGCAGCGACGCAAGCGTGAACGAACCAACATATCCTCGTCATCCCCCCTCCCCGCCTCTACCTCCGTAGCAATTTTGGCTCAAGCCACTCGTGCCCGTGGATAATGGAATGATCGGCGGCGGGGGTCGCTAAGGCGACATTTTGATGCTTGCTGTCCAACGCTTCGTCGGCAAGTACAATTACCATGGTTGTTGGCTCTTTGACGTCAAGCTCGTAGGTTTGTGCATGGACGATGGACCCCGTCCGCACACGTGGCTGCAAAACCGCAAATTGTGCTTCTTCGACGGCCTCCCGCAACCCAGCGAACACGGGCGAAGGACTATAACCAGAACGCAGAAAGTCTACCAGCCATAGCATACTTGAATATCTCAAATCAAAAAACATAGGTATGAAAACTGGCATGTTGATTTTCGCGTTTCAGAGGTGACCGAACGGTGGGCCGAACATCTGCTCAAAAAATACGCGTGTCTCCGCCGTCTCCGCATGAACAGTAGTACATACAAGATGAGCTGGGGCACGTAGTCCCAGCAGGAGCAAGCCCTTTGGCATGTGAGTTGAAAAAAATGAACGATTCGACCTCCGAGTCGTGGACCGTGCTGCCCCGTCCTAAGCTCAACTGCCGGTGCTGCTGCGAACTTGCTATTGGGAGGCATCGTCGTGCAACGCTAAATGTCTGCGAAGAGTGTCCAGCCAGCTTGGTTAAGCTGCTCTATCGCAGTCTATCGCAAGGAGAACGCACAAGATGCGACCAACCAACAGCCCATCTCCCAACAGCCTCTCGGGAGCCTCATCTGCACGACGAAGCTGCTCGCGAGGCCTGTCCAGCTCTCCCACAAACTCCTTATCGCTCTGCCTGCTGACCCTTTTGGCCAAACACGGCTGCCTTTGCGCTCCGCCGCCGGCTGACCAAAGCAACTTGGGCGCGCATCATGCGCGCCCTCCCATAGCGCCGCCCCCGTTGCTGAGCAACCTCCACTTGCAAGAAAGCAGAACGAACATGGCCAAACTCGCTTGAGCAATGGGAATTTCGCCCGCTGGTGGGCGGCCTGAGCCAAAATAGCTCCGACCATGCGAGTGATGATCCTCGTTGTCCTCCTCCTCCTCGTCTTCGTTTGGTCTCGTCGTCCTCTTCTTCGTATTCGTCGTCATCCTCCTCCTCTGCCTCTTCCTCGTTGTCCTCCTCCTTATCATCGTCGTTGTGTTCCTCGTTGTCGTCCTCATCATTGCTCTTGCCCTGATCGTCCTCCTCATCCGCCTCCTCACCCTCCTGCCCCTCGCTGTCCCAAAGAGGACCCCGAAAGAGCCCAAAGAAGACCCCAAAACGGTATCAAGATAGGTCACTAGCGTTGGCCGTACTGCTTCACCATATGCTGACCCAAACCCCTTCTTCAGACAACTCTGCTGGGCAACGTTTCTGAATGGGCTGGTGGGGATATTTTTTTTGATTGGCGGCTCCAAGGAAGAGTCCAGGAAGCGGGGCGGGCGCGGCTGGGGCACAGGGCGAGATAATTGGTTACGACGGCGCCTAGGCCGACGCAACAAGTGCACCTGCAAGAGGCGAAAGGCCCCCCATTAAGATGCGAGCGACCCGAGAACGGGGACGCAAGCACCAGACTGGAGTAGACGGAGAGAAGTCGCACAGTGGCGCCAACTCAAACCGTATAGTCCAGAGAGCACAGGCTAGGGCCGATCAGTCAAGTGGCAGGACGGTGGGCACGTGAGGCTGCGTCGCTCACCACTACGAGACGAGAGAACAAGGAACGAGCGGGCAGAAGAGGGGTGGCCGGGTAAGCCTCACTCACTTGGACTCCTGGGCGCGATCAGACGTGAGCTACCGACCGGTGCACTGACGTCGACCCAGTCGCGGAGTCCGAACCATGACTGCCTGACCCGGAGGTCGGGGGAACGGCAGCAGGCGTGGCCGAGCACCATGGACCAACCGATAGGAGAGCATGAGTACTGTCAAAGGATGAACCACTTGTGCAGTACCAAGAGCACGCTGGTGGCTCCCGCTCAGAGGTGGGCCACGTCGTCGGCGAACAACGCAGGCAGCTAACCATCACGGCGGACGGGGGAAGCAAGCGGCGCGCGTCAACCGGGGGCCGTGGTGGACCAGAAGGGGGAACGTCGATAGTCGAGCAAAAGGTGTGCCACTTGCCGCCCCGCAACGCCCCAGGTCCGGCCCCCGGCGGTGCCGGGGCAGTTTTTTTCCACGGTCAACGCGGACTAAAGACAGTACGCTGTTACTCGCGCGGCACCGCGCCCCCGTCTCAGGGGGGCGAGACGGGGGGCCCCGGGCCGCGCGGCGGGGGCGACAGTGGCCGCCCTTTCACACGCGCGCGGAGCTACAAGTCATCGTCGTCGGAGGGGGCCGCTAGGTCTGACGCGTCGCCGGGGCCGGCCGCCGCTGCCCGCCCCCCTCGCATGCGAGGTTGATCATGGCGGGTTCCAGCTTATACGCGAGCATCTCGCTCAGCAGCGTCGCAGCCTGCTGCCACTGCCGAGGTCACCTCTTCTCGAAGGGGCTGCTCACATGGCCGCGGGTGACCATGGCGGGCTCCAGCTTCTACACGAGCATCTCGCTCAGCAGCGTCGCAGCCTGCTGCCACTGCCGAGGCCGCCTCTTCTCGCAGGCGCTGCTCGCAGTGCCGTAGGTGACGATGTCGGGCTCCAGCTTCGGCTCCGACGTCTCGCAGGGCAGCCGCGGGGCCGGCCGCCACTGCCGGCACTTCTCGCAATCGCTGATCGGGGCGCTGTGGCTCAACATTTCCGGCTCCAACTTCACAACCCGCATCTTTCTGTGCAGCGGTAGGGCCGGCTGCCCCGTGTTGTGGCTCATGATGTCGGGCTCCAGCTTCGCCGCCCGCCTCTCGCTTAGCAACGATAGGGCCCGCTGCCACTGCTCGCCCTTCTCGCGCGCTCTGACCGGAGTGCCAGAGCTCTTGACGGCGGGCTCCAGCTTCAACACCAGCATCTCGCTGAGCAGCGATGGCGCCCGCTGTCGCTGCCAGCACTTCTCGCACGCGCTGTTCTGGTCGCTGTAGATCGTGATGGTGGGCTCCGGTTTCACCCCCAACCTCTCGCTGAGGTGAGCCAGAGCTGGCTGCCACTGCCCCTTCTCGCGGGCGCTGATCGCAGTGCTGTAGCGGCTGATGTTGGGCTCCAGCTTCACGACTGTGGGCTCCAGGTTCACTCCCAACATCTCGCTGCGCCGAGCCAGAGCTGGCTGCCACTGCCCCTTCTCGCAGGCGCTGGTCACAGTGCTGTAGCGGCTGATGATAGCGGGCTCCAGCTTCGCCCCCAGCGTCTCGCTGAGCAGCGCCGGGGCCAGCTGCCACTGCCGCTCCACCGCCACCACCGCCGCCACGACTGCCACCCCCCCCAGTCCTGCCACCGTCCACGCCTCCACTGCCGCCCCCCGCGCGCCCGCGCACCCACCGTGCCGCCGCTGCCGCCCCTTCCCACAGCTCCCTGCCCGGACCTGCTGGCTCGCCCTGCCCTCTCACACTAAACGTGCTCCCACTGCCGCCCCCCCCCCCCCCCCAACTTGCCGCCACTGCCGCCCCTCCCGGCCTCCTGATCCCCAACTGCGCTGCCACTGCCGTCCCTCCCAAACATGCCGTCGCCCTCCGAGCCGCCAGTGCCGCCCCTCTTCGCCCGTCCAGCCGTGCTGCCACTGCCGTGCCGACATGCTTCCACTGTCGGCCCTTCTCGCACGTGCTCGTCGAAGCGTTGTAGCCTATGGAGGTCGGGATCATCTTCGCAACCTGCATCTTCCTGAGCAACGCTTGAGCCCCTGGCCACCGCTGGCCCGTGGTGTCGGTCAGGTGGTGCTGGGGTCGCTCGCGGTGCAGCTGGGGTTGGTGTTGATGCTGCTGGAGTCGCACTGGTGCTGCTGGAGTCTGGCCTCGGTTGGTCCCAGCAGTGTTGGGGTTGTTGGTGCCGGTTGGGTGCTGCTGGGGTTGTGGTGCAGCTGGGGTTGCGCTGGCGCTGTTGGAGTGGACCGCTGGTTGGTCGTGGTGCTGCTGCTGGAGCTGGTGGTGATGCTGTTTGGGTCGGTCAGGGGCTGTCGGGGTCGGTCGGGGCGCAGCTTGGGTTGGTGTTACTGCTGCTGGGGTCACACTGGTGCAACTGGCTTGGGTCGCTGGTTGGTCGCGGTGCTGCTGGAGTGATGGCAGCACTGCTGGTGCCAGTCGGGTGCTGCTGGGGTCGGTCGTGGTGCCGTTTAAGATGGCGTTGATGCTGCTGGAGTCGCACTGGTGCTGCTGGGGTGGGTCGCCGTTTGGTCGCGGTGCTGCTGGGGGTGGCGGTGGTGGTGCTGTTGGTGTCGGTCAGGCGCAGCTGGAGTCAGTCGCGGTGCAGCTGAGGTTGGTGGGGATGCTGCTGCAGTCGCACTGCTGCTGCTGGGGTGGATCGCAGGTTGGTCGCGGTGCTGTTGGAGCTGGCGGTGGAGCTGTTGGTGCCAGTCGGGTGCTGCTGGAGTCGGACGTGGTGCAGCTAGATTTGGTGTTGAGGCTGCTGGAGTCACACTGGTGCTGCTGGAGTCATGCGCTGGTTGGTCGCGGTGCTGCTGCTGGTGTTGGTCGAATTGCTGCTGGAGTCGGTCGTGGTGCAGCTGGCGATGGCGTTGATGCTGCTAGAGTCACACTGGTGCTGCTGGAGTGGTTCGCAGGTTGGTCGCGGCGCTGTTGGAGCTGGTGGTGGTGGTGCTGTTGGTGTCGGTCATGTGCTGCTGGAATCGGTTGTGGTGCAGCTGGGGTTGGCGTTGATGCTGCTGCTGCTGGAATCGCACTGGTGCTGCTGGACTGGGTCGCTGGTTGGTCATGGTGCTGCTTGAGTTGGTGGCGGTCCTGTTGGGGTCGCTCAGGTGCTGCTGGAGTCGGTCGTGGTGCACTGCTGCAGGAGTGGGTCGCTGGTTGGTCGTGGTGCTGCTGCAGTGGGTGGTGTTGCTGTTGGTGTCGGTCAGGAGGTACTAGAGTCGGTCGCGTTGCGGCTGGGGCTGGTGTTGGCGCTGCTGGGGTCGCACTGGTGTTACTGAAGTGGGTCGCGGGTCGGTCGCGGTGCAACTGGAGTGGGTGGCAGTGCTGCTGGGATCGGTCAAGTGCTGCTGGAGCTGGTCGTGGTGCAGCTGGGGTTGGCGTGGATGCTGTTGCAGTCGCAGGTTGGTCGCGGTGCTGTTGCGGTTGGTGGTGGTGCTGCTGGTGTCGGTCAGGCGCTGCCAGAGTCGGTCGCGATTCAGCTCGGGTTGGCATGGATGTTGCTGGAGTCGCAAAGGTGCTGCTGGAGTGGGTCGCTGGTCGGCCGTGGCGCTGCTGGAGTTGGTGGTGTTGGAGCTGCTGGTGTCGGTCAGGTGCTGCTGGAGTCGGTCGCGGTGCAGCTGCGGTTGGTGGGGATGCTGCTGCAGTCGCACTGCTGCTGCTGCTGCTGCTGGAGTGGGTCGGCGGTTGGTCGTGGTGCTGCGTGAGGCGGCGGTGCTGTTGGTGCCAGTCGGGTGCTGCTGGGGTCTGTCGCGGTGCAATTGAGCTTGCTTTTGATGCTGCTGGAGTCGGACTGGTGCTGCTAGGGTCGGTCGCTGGATTGTCGCGGCGATGCTGGAGTGGGTGGTGGTGCTGTCGATGTCGGTCAGATGTTGCTGAGGTCGGTCGTGGTGCCGTTGGGGATGGCGTTGATGCTGCTGGAGTCGCACTGGTGCTGCTGGAATGGGTCGCTGGTTGCTCCCTGCGCTGCTGCAATTGGTGGTCGTGTTGTTGGTGTCGGTCGGGTGCTGCTGGAGCCGGTTGCGGTGCAGCTGGTGGTGGCGTTGATGCTGCTGGAGTCACACTGGTGCTGTCGGTGCCGGTCGCCTGTTGGTCGTGGTGCTGCTGCGGTTGGTGACGGTGCTGTTGGTCTCGGTCATGTACTGCTGGAGTCGGTCGTGCTCCACTGGTGCTGCTGGAGTTGGTCACTGATTGGTCGCGGTGCTGCTGGAGTTGGTGGTGGTGCTGCTGGCGTCGGTCAGGGACTGCTGGAATTGGTCGTGGTGCAGCTGGGGTTGGGGTTGGCGCTGCTGGGGTCGCACTAGTGCTACTGGAGTGGGTCGCTGGATGGTCGCGGTGCTGCTGGAGTTGGAAGCAGTGCTATTGGTGTCGGTCAGGTGCAGCTGGAGTCGGTCTTGGCGAGGCTGGGTTTGGTGCGAATGATGCTGGAAGCGCGCTGGATCTGCTGGAGTGGGTCGCCGGTTGGTCGTGGTGCTGCTTGACCTGGTCGCGATGCTGTGAGTGTCGGTCCAGCGCTGCAAGAGTCGATCTCGGCGCAGCAGGGGTTGGCGTGGACGCTGCTGGAGTCGCTGCGGTGCTACTGGAGTGGGTCGCCAGTTGGTGGGGCTGCTGCTGGAGTTGGTGGTGGTGGAGCTGTTGGTGTCGGTTAGGTGGTGCTGGTGTTGGTCGCGGCGTAGCTGAGGTTGGCGCGGGTGCTGTTGGAGTCGCAATGCCGCTGCTGGAATGGGGCGCTGGTTGGTCGCTGTGCTGATGGAGTTGGCAGTGGTGCTGTTGGTGTCGGTTGGGTGCTGCTGGAGTCGGTCGTGGTGCAGATTGGGCTGGTGTTGAGGCTGCTGGAGTCACGCTGTGCTGCTGGGGTCAGTCGCTGGTTGGTCGCGGTGCTGCTGGAGTTGGTGGTGGTGCTGTTGGTGTCGGCCAGGTGCTGCTGGAGTCGGTCGTGGCGCAGCTGGTGATGGCGTTGACGCTGCTGGAGTCGGACTAGCGCCGCTGGAGTGGGTCGCTGGTTGGTCGCTGTGCTGCTGGAGTTGGTGGCGGTGCTGCTGGCGTCGGTCAGATGCTGCTGGAGTAGGTCGCGGCGCAGCTGGGGTTGGCCCTTCTCGCAGGCGCTCGCCGAAGCGTTCTGGCAGATTGTAGCGGGCTTCAGCTTCGCGACGCGCGTCTTGATGAGCAGTGGTTGGATCGGCTCTCGCTGCCCGCCGCCAGGAGAACACATGCTCGCGAAGTTCCTGATAATACTGGATTAGAGCTTCATTCTCAACTCTCGGAGGTACGTCGGCTCCGAGAGCAGCGTCAGCGTCGGTGGGCATCGCTGCCCCACCGCCATCGCCGCCACCGCAGCTGCCACCCTCCACTGGGCTGCCACCGTCCACGCCTCTACTGCCGCCCCCCGCTCCACCTCCTCCTCCTCCTCCTCCAACCAGGCCGCCGCCGCCCCTCCGTGCCCCTCCCACCGCCCCGCCTCCAGGGTGGCTCCCGCCAGTGTTGCTGGAGTGTGTCGATGGTTGATTCTGCTGGGAGTAGCTGTCTTGGCTGGGTGCTGCTGCGTGGTCATGCTGCTGGAATTGGTGGGGCTGCTGGTGTCGGCTGGAGGTCGCGAGAGTCGGTCGTGTCGCGGTTGGGACTGGTGTTGATGCTGTTGGAGTCGCACTGGAGTGGCCTTGGTGACTGTCTGGCGTTGCTGGAGTCGGTCGCGGTGCTGTTGGTGACGGCGTTGGTGCTGCTGGAGCCACACTGGTGCTGCTAGAGCGGGTCGCTGGTCGGATGCGGGTCTGCCAGTCGCGCGCGTTGCTGGTCGTCGGCGCTGCTGGTCGATGATGCTGCTGATCTCCTCCTCCCCCTTCTCCTCCAGCAGCAGCAACCACTCCTCCTCTTCTTTCTTCAACAACTCCAAATTCCCGAACCCCACGCCCTGTGCCGCCGCTGCCCCCGTCCTCGTTGGCCTCCTCCTCCTCCTCCTCCTCCTCCTCCTCCTCCTCCTCCTCTTCCTCCTCCTCAGCCTCCTCTGGTCTGGTGATGGCCTGATGCTGTTGGTGGAGTGGAGCACGGGTTGGTCTGGCGCTGGTCTGGTCTGGTGCTGCTGGAAAGGTGGAGCCGGGATTGCCTCCGCTGTCTCCGCCGCCTCCGCCGCCTCCGCAGCCGCCTCCGCCGCCTCCGCCGCCTCCGCCGCCTCCGCCGCCTCCGCCGCTTCCGCCGCCTCCGCCGCCTCCGCAGCCGCCTCCGCCGCCTCCGCCGCCTCCGCAGCCGCCTCCGCAGCCGCCTCCGCCGCCCCCGCCGCCTCCGCCGCCTCCGCCGCCTCCGCCGCTTCCGCCGCCTCCGCCGCCTCCGCAGCCGCCTCCGCCGCCTCCGCCAGTCCCTCGCCTCGGTGCCGCTGTAGTCTGTCGTGGTGCTGGAGTCGGTTGTCGTTGCTGGCGTCGGTCGCGGCGTCGGTCTGACCCCGGCCCTCGTCGCCGATCCTGGGCTTCCTGGCGGTGCCAGCTCACCTGCAGATGCCGCGGCCGTCGACGACGTAGCAATCTCTGCAACACTCGAGCCGCCCACGTCATGCGGGCCAGCATTTCCCCGCGAATCTGCTCGCACGTCCCCCGTTCGGGCCGCGGGGTCTGGCAGCTGAGACGCCCACCAGCGCGCGCGCAACGGCCGCGGGCATGGCACCTGTCCGCGCGAGCGGGATTGAGTCTGCCACAAAGCGGGTTGGGGCACTCCCAATCACCAGCTATGACCTCGAGGTCCCTGAGAGTGAGACCCCCGCGCTGCCTCGCCTCGGTCGCGGCTCGCGCGCGCAGCTCCGGGCCAAATGCCAGATGCCGTTGCTGAGCCGCATTGGGCGTGACCCCCCCGCGCGGCATCCGTCGTTCCAGGGCCGCTACCTGCGCCAGCTTGCGCCGCAGCCACCTATGCCCCCCCTCGTCGACATGTCCGCCCTGGCCCGACTCGGCCGGCTGCGCCCGGCATCCTGGCGCCGCCCCCTTTACCAGGAAGATCTCCACCGTGCCCGGGCGACAGTGCCGGAGGGCCAGTGGCACGCCGGGTGGGTGCCATTCGAACATATGCAAGCCAAACTCGACATCTAAGCTCACCGAGTGCGTGTTGAAGTCGACTGTCCAATACCTGCGATGCACCTCCTGGTTGCCAATCGCTTGCATGGCGATGCCGATCCCCCGGAGCCGCTGCTCTAGAGACAAGGAGATCCCACCCATGTTGTCGCCCTCCAATCACGAGGGCTTCGTGATGATGTCGAACTGCTCGACGCCGAGCTCGATGGCCACGCTCGTGATCTCATTCAGTCTGCTAGCGTGGTTCGTCATCGTGTCGATGCGATGCTGGTCCGACATCAGGTAGGGCTCGATGATCTCGAGTCTCCTGGGCTGTCGCACGGCACCCCGTGGGAGAGCGCGGATCCCCTCCCGAAGCAGGCTCAAGTAAGAGTGCCCTCTGGGGCCTCGAAGCCGCCCGCGTCCGATAAGCAGCCGCCCCGCGTGTCGAACCGACCGTCCGTCCCTCCACTCCCGGAGCGGGGCCTCCTCGTTCGCCGGAGTCTGGCCGCTGCTCGCGCCGTCGTCTGGTGACCACGTGCTGGGGTTGGTCGTAGTGCAGCTGCTTGGTTGCTGGGGTCGGCTGCATGGTGATCGCAGTGCCCCTGGTTGCTCGCTCTGAAGGTGCTACGGTCGGTCGCCAGTTGGTGGCGGTGCTGCTGGAGTCGGTCTAGGACTGCTGGCGTCGGCCAGGTCGCTTCTGGAGTTAGATGCAGTGCTACAGGAGTTGGCCGCTGTGCTGCAGCCGGGTCGCTGGCGTCGGTTGCCGGGTGGTCAAGGTGCTGCTGGTTGGTGTCTCTGGTGGTGCTGGAGCCGGTCGCTGGTTGGTCGTGGAGCTGCTGGGGTCGGTCGTGGTGCTGCTGGTGCTGGTCTAGGTCTGCTGGTGTTGGCCGAGGTGCTGCAGGAGTCGGTCGTGGTGTTACTGGAGCTGGCCGCGGCGTTGCTGTAGTCGGTCGTGGCGTTGTTGGGCGGTCGCTGGGGTCGGTCGCTGGTCGGTCGCGGTGCTGCTGGTTGCTCACTCTGGAGGCGCTGGGGTCGGTCGCAGGTGGGTCGCGGTGCTGCTGGTTGCTCGCTATGGCGGCGCTGTGGTCGGTCGCTAGTTGATCGCGGCGCTGCTGCAGTTGGTCGCAATGATGCCGGCGTCGGTCTAGTGCTGCTGGTGTCGGCCCAGGTGCTGCTGGAGTTGGCCGTGGTGCTGTTGGAGCTGCTCGTCGCGCCTCTGACGTAGGTCGCTGCGCTGCCGTTCGGTCGCTGGGGTCGGTCGCTGGTTGGTCGGAGTGCTGCTGGTGGGTCGCTCTGGGAGCGCTGGGGGCGGTCGCAGGTCGGTCGTCGCCCTTCAGGTACCCCATGGTTCTGGCAAGCCACCGGCAGGCGCACGCCAGGGAGCCCTGCGGGCGGACACCGACAGCAACAGCGATCTTCATCACGACGTATTGTGGCAGGGTGCCATTGTTGACGCCAGGGTCGGTCAACGAGCGGCCTTGATGCTGCTGTAGTTGGTCGTCATGCTGTCGTGCTGCTGGCGCTGGTCGCAGTGCTTCTGAAGTTGGCCGCTGTGCTGCTGCCTGGTCGCTGGAGCTGCTGAACTCGGTCGTCGGATGGTCGCGGTGCTGCTGGACTTGGTACTGGGGCTCCCTGTGTCGGTGTGGGGCTGCTGGAGTTGGTCGTGCTGTTGCTGGGGTCGTTCCGGTGCTGCTGGGGTCTGCCGTTGGTTGGTCAAGGAGCCGCTGGAGTTGCTCGCTTGGCTGCTGGTGTCGGTCTGGTGCTGCTGGGGTCAATCGTGGCGCAGCGGGCGTTGATCGTGGTGCTGCTGGAGTCGCTTGGGCGTGGTGTTGCCGGGGTCGGTCGTGGTGCAGCTGGAGTCGGTCGTGGTCTGGTGCTGCTGGAGTCGGTCGCGGTGCAGCTGGCATTCGCCGTGGTGCGGCTAACGTTCGTCGTGGTGCTGCCGTGGGCGATGGTCGTGGTGCTGTTGCTGGAGTTGGGCGTGGGTCGTGGTGCCGCTGGAGTTGCTGCTGGAGTAGGCCGTGGTGCAGCTGGCGTTGGTCGTGGTGCAGCTGGAGTTGTTGGAGTCGGTGTGGTGCTGCTGGCGTTGGTCGTGGTGCAGCTGGCGTTGGTCGTGGTCCTTCACGCGCGTGCCTGTCCCCGCCCGAGTCTGCAGCCACTGGCCACCCTTCTCGATGCCGGCCCTTGATGTCGGCGAAAGCCGCGACTGCGCGCCAGGCCGCGAGAAGGGCCCGGGCGTCGCGGCGGCGCCGACGCGCGCGGCGCGCTGCGGCGGACTCCCTCCGTCCGTCCCTCTCCGGGCGCGGGAAGCCCGCGGAGGCCCCCCGCCTGCCGCCGCCCGTCATCCACGCCTGCGCCCCCGCGCGCGTGCCCCGCGGGCAGGCCCAAGCCTCCGCGCGCCCTGATGCACGCAGATTTGAGCCAGACGGCACGAGCCAAGGGCTACGGACGCTGGTGGGGATACTTTTTTGATTTGCGGCCCGCAAGGAAAAGTCCAGAGGGCGGTCAGAACGAGGCTGGGGCACAGCGCACGATGATTAGCGCGAGAACGCGCGGAATGCACATGCAAAACGATTAGGCGAGGCGGCCACAGGTGGGCAACCACAGGCCGGACCCGCAGGCGGGGCCGGGTCGGAACCCTGCCGGAGTGCAGCAGAGGCGAGTCGGCCACGGATGGGCAGACCAGGTGGGGAGGACAGAGAAGGCAAAAAACCGGACGCTGAACGTGTGCCAGCGAGCGTAGGGGGGAGCAAAAGAAGGGACGGACCCGCAGGTGGGGCCGGACTGCCAGGCAAGCCAAGCCATCACTCACTTGGGCGTCGGCCAGCCTGCACGCATCAGAGGGGGGCGCAGCCAACCTCCATGGGAGCGACCAAGAGAGCCCTGGTACCAGAGCGGTGAGCGTCATGTGCATCCAGAAGGCACTCCTGTGACTGCAGCGGACGTCTTACACGGGCGCCAAACAGGTGCAGGACCGACGACCCTATCTGCCAATGCCGACAAGGCTGACCGTACTGTCACCACGCCAATGTGCAAGATGGGGAGCTGAAGCCGCCGTCGCACTAACCACGGCGGGGGAGCCACTGCATGCTGCCGACTCCAAAGGGTGGGCCCAGACATGGCCGAGGCCAGCGTCCGGCGAGCCCTGGCCCACGCACGCCGCGAGCAAAACTACTCCTAAAGCGGAGAGAGGGCGTGCACCTTAAGCGAGCCGTCTCGGAAGAACACGGGCCGACGCAGTGGCAAACCGACGGCGGGGTTATTCCAGCTTGCCGATCGGGAGAAAGGCCCGCGTACAAGCAAGAACTATCTCGGTGGCGGGGGGGTACCTCAGCCCCAAGAGGTAACAACAGTCCGCCCCGTGGCCCACTGCAACGGTGAAACAAGCCAGCCGCGATCAGTCGACCGGAGTGGCCTGGTGGAGACCCGCGCCCAGTTGCCCACAGCAACTCATCCTTTTTCGGAAGTGGCCTCCTGTGGCGACGAGAAATGGGAAGAAAAGCAGCCGAAAGCCGCAGACAGAGTGAAGAGAAGGGGGGCACGCATACGAACGCCGCGCGCGGCAGCACGTGGCGGCGAGGACAGGCGGAGGTGCGGCCGATAGCCGCGGAACTGGAAAATGTGATGGGAGGTGGGGGAGCGCCCTGGCCGTAGGGCTTTGTCTGAGGTGGGGGCGTCCTAGGGGGTCCCACGTCACCGTGCAAGGCAATCCTTTGCTGGGGGAATTCACGCGTTGTCCCGGCGACCTGGCGCCGTATGCCATGGCTTCTTCTGTATAGCTGACGTCGTCCCTAGTTGGGGGGCCCCTTCAGGCCCTCTGTTGGTCTACCAGCGCGCGTGCCCCCATCCTCGCTGCCGCTTGTCGGCGTATTGCTCGTCACTTTTTGAGACGGTCCTCTTCTCCCTGTTCCCCCACGAGGCCCCCCTCCAGGAGCTACCATGCTGGCCCCGCCCTTCCCATTGCGGCCTTGGGCGCCATGGGGCCCCAGAGCTGGATGCACCCGACCAGGAATTCCCCCGGTCGGTGTGCGCCGGCGGGGCGGCTGTGTCGTCTCTGGGTCTGCTCCATGGGTGCTGCGGCGCAGCCCCACTGTGAATGCTGGAGGGCCGGGTCCGCTCTCGGTGAAATGCCCTGTCGGGTGGGGCAGGGGGGTTGGGTGCACTGCCTCTGTTGGCCCAAGGGGGTGGGCTGCCCTTGCTGTCGTGCCCCTTGCTTGCGTTGGCCCTTGTGCTGCGATGTAGTAGGTTGCGATATTTGTCAGCGACCTTTGTCCAATCAACACGGATATGGTGGCGTTTCACCAGCTTGTAGGCATCGTACCTCGCTTTTGTCCACGCCTGCAGAAATTATTCGCACCTCTCCCGTGTGTTCCCCCTGGGGTCCGCACGGATGTCGTTCCACGCTAGACCCTCTAGGCTATCAGCCTTGCGTGCCCATCCTATCCACGCCCCGTTGAAAGCGCCTCCGAAAGCCCTCTGTAATCTCATGACTTTCTCTTGGCCTGTCTCGTCCCTCTCGATGTCGGCCTCTTTGATGGGCCTCAAGTGCATGGGGGGGGCCCCCATAGGGGGTCGCTCCGATGCGGAGGTGGGAGTGGCTCAGCCTGTGGGCGTGGCCGTCTCTCTGGGCTGCCGTCTTGCCGGGGGCTGAGCGCCCGCTGGGTCTCGTACGGAAGGGCTTTTGGCTCCTGGATAGACTCCTGATCGCGGTCTGGCCTGCCTTCCCCTCGAGGTTTCCTTTGATCAGCCTTCCTTCTGCTGGCGGGGATACGCGAAGCGCCAGGAATTGCTGCAGGTTCGCGCCCCGGAAACAAGAGCCCCCGGCAGATTGCGACGCGCTCGCCGCCAATGCCACAATCTCTTGCAACCTATAACAGTTTCGCGCACCAAGGACCACAACCCCTTGCAGTCGCGCCCGCGGTGCCACAACCTATGCTGGTTTGCAGCGGACTCGCGCCCCCGAGGCCACCATCCCGTGTAAATTGTATTAGGCTCGCGCTCCCGAAGCCACAGCTCCTTCTAACTCACAGCATACAGGTTCGCGACCCTGGGCCAACAACCCCTTGCAAGCGACAGCGCAGTCGGGCATCCGAGGTCATAGTTATTTGCAAATCCCACCAACCCTCTAGGGCGCGTGTAGTCTAGCTGGTTCCCTCTTCCAA